GAAATCTATCATGATACTGCTTGCAATTTATATCTTATGTTTAACGTAATGAATTTACCCTCAAAGTAATACAAAACTACAGGTGTTTTATATTTTCTACTGTTGGATTATTTTTCCCTTAAGCTTTTTTCTTTCATCTTTCCTATCATGCTTCAGCTGCAACCAAGTCATACAGAAGTGAACTAACCAGGGCTTTTCACAACAGAATATTTGGAGGAAAAAGTGAGATAAATTAAAGTTTCTGAAGATTAACTGGTTGCCCTAAACTATCAATCAAACTCCTTTGGAACCTCCCTACCTATGTCTTGGGTGATCAAACCCTGTCTACAAGCAGCCTTTGGCCCTGCAGGGGTACCTGTTCAGCTGATCAGGAGACTGGAGAGGAGACTCGGAACCACGTGATAATTCTTTGGGAGGAATGCTGTGTGGTGACACACTGCAGGAGGATGGGGCTGGCTGTGTTTTATTAGGTAAAGACAGTCACATGGAAGAAGATGAGGCAGGAAACACCTAGAAATAGGCAGTTAAAATGTCTAGAAATAACACATTTGATCCATAATGCCAGGTGTTATAGTGTAAAGTAAATACATAAAGAGATGAAACTAAGGATTCATGTTTTCCTACCTCCTTGATTCCGGAAGTAGTAGAAGAATGATTATAGTTTCCAAATGTGATGATGTAAATTGGCTCTTCGTCCTCACCTATGCACAGAGATTCAGCCCTCTGGCCTACAGTACAAGGATTCAGGGTTTCTCTGAGCTCACACTTGGAACTTTGGTTTGGGACGCCTGCTGTAAGGAATCTCTAGTTTGGGAGTTGCCACTTTGAGAGATGAGATTTTGATTTCACTTGCTGATTTTGTTGAGCATGCTATTTGGGACCCACTAAAATTCTATAATCATTTTTATATGTACTGCTGAACAAGCCAGATTGCTAAAATCTGTGCCGTCTCTGAAATAAATGCAAACCTTTACATTGATTGCAACTTGTTATGCTTTTGTCTGTCTAGGCTGGGCTGCAGGCATCTGTATGGTCTGTGGGTTACCAGAGGCCCCAGTCTCCCTGCCACCCCATCTGTGGCACACAGCATCTCCCTGGACCTCCCTGAACTTCCTGAATTGTTCCCAGTTTCCCTGTGGGATGGTCTCTTCCTGAAACCATAGACCCACAACACATAGTCACAGGATATGGGACCTTCCTCGTGGGCACGAACTCCCAGCACACCAATAACCTCTCTTTCTTGGGCTCTATCCAACTGGTCATGAGATGTCAGTGAAACCCGGATAGTACTTAGTGCCAGACTTTGAAATCTCTCCTGCAGCACATGGAACCTTTTTCTCCCCCTTTCTTTGTAATTAGTTGACGTCAACTTTGACATAATTGTCAAATTATGAATATGTTTTCCTAAATGTTTAAAGACATTCTTCAGTAATGGAAAATTATCTGATAACTAAATAGCTAAAGATAAATTTTTGAATATTTTTACATACTAGGTTAAGCAGCAGAAAACATCCATCTAAAAATAATCCATTCTTTCTCCTTTCTCAGGGACCTGCCCCATGAGCCCTGTGCATCAGCAGCGTGTTAGAAATGATTATTATGCACTAAAGTCATAAGAAGACAAGTGGATTACTTAGGATAATAAGACACCCCAAAATTCCCCACCAGAATTTTAAAATCATTCTTTCTGCAGTTTATCTAAAAATTGGGGTAATCTTTGTCAATAATAGACCTAACATAATGTTTTTTGCTTGTTGCTTCTTTCGTACCAGAGTGTGATCTCATCATTGACATGTACTAGCATGGGGACAACTATTTTAAGAGATTCCAGGCAATACAAGGGCTCAGCAGTGATAAGTAAAAAACAACAGGCAAAAATAGGAAGTCACAATATTCCACTTTTTAATATTCTGTCTTGACTCTACCAAGCAGATGGGAGAGATTTTTAAAAAAGCATTTGTTGCCTCTGGAAGCAATTATATATTACTATATTTTGAACTATAATTCTACTTCTTCAATTTTTCTTTGGCGCAAATGCACAATTACAATTGCATTAGCACATTTTCAGGATTTCTCAAGTGCGTGGGAAAAAGCATTTTATTAAGGCACATTTTGCTGTCACTTCAAGGGTCTGGTAGCTCATAGACAAGTGCAATCACTATTTCCTGCTCTGAGATCCCACCTTAACCTGTGAAAGCTACACTGGAGCCTGCATTAATAACAGTGCTGACTTTGATTTAAAGAATGTGCATTTTATTATTAACTAACAAATTAAAATTGAGGCTATACAGAAGCTCTAACTATGAAAATGTAGAAAGTTAAAATATATTAAATTAATTACATTCTAATCTGTCCAGTATTCATGGTAATGTATTTTTACAAGTTGAAAGTAATTTTGTATTATGCTTCCTAATTTATGAAATCTTCCATGGAAAAAGTGAGTCTTCCCCATAAAAAGGAATAAATAACTTGCTTTTGTGAGTGCATTAACTTGTCTGGCCTGTGGAGAATCATTTATTGAAATGGAAGAAGTAGCTTGTCACTGGCATGCAAATGGTGTGAATGAGGACACCTCCAGAAGTCAACCCTGCTCCCTCAACACGAGCCAGACGAGAATCCTTTACTCCATAGCTACCTTCTTGCTCTCTCTCACATGCGAGGGCTGTAGGAGCCACCACAGCTGTGTTCAAAGCATCTTCCTGTCACATGGGTGCAAAGGATTATGTGGTATAACTGGAAAAATTACTTGTTTTATTCCTGTCAATTTTAATTGAGATCCTTACACTCTGCTGGTGAAAGGCTTTAATGTCTGTAACACTGAGTTATTTATTTCTTGGTTTAATTATTTATGATCAGAATGCTTGTTTAGTTACTCTTGCATAGACCCTGCTAAATCTAATAATGGATATTAAAACACTGGAGATAATCTATAGCCTTCAATAAATCACACCTAATTTGGAATTCCTTTGTTGAATAATGCAAGCTACTATAGGGAGGGAAAAGTCAAAACAAATAAAAAAGTGAATTTGTAATCAACTCAGTTGATAGCTAACTAAAGTATTAAATTAATAAAAGTAGTAACGTTTTTCTAATTTCATTAACAAAAATAAATTTTATTAAGATTGATATCATGCTTTTCACTATAAGTTTCAGGAATGTAAACTAAGAATAAAAATGATCTCAATGACAGAGAATCCTCATGGTCATGTACTTTAATATGAAATATGATCTGCCATCAAGACGAGCGACGGCTGGGGATTCCCCATTCCCCATTCCCCATCTCCATCACTCTTGCAGTGATAATGACCATCTTCTTAGGCTCTATAGGAACATTATCTAAAGTAACCTAACAAAACCTAAGTTTTAACAATGAATAAAATAACCTGACATAAATGTATTTTGAGCAAAAGGAAAAGTTGCATTGTTCATTTTGTTGTAGTTGCTTTAATCTGGTAGCTCAGACCCAATGCATGTAGCACCTTGGCGGCATGAGCCAGTGGTGAAGGAGAGGGGGGTGAAAGTCTGGAAAAATATCCCAGTTACAGCAACTTCTGTGAGATATCAGAGAGCAGTATGGACTGCTGGGGGCGAACAGGAAACACAGGCCAGGACCAGGGCTCTGAGAAGATGGCTTGTACACATCTGGCTGGCAGCTCCGCTCCTTGGGAGGTATGGTGGTGGTCACTGGCCTGTGGTCAATTAGGAAATCCTACTGGCCACTTGGAAACAATTAATTGACTAGTTGGAGGATCCTTGCTATGATTGATAATATTAACTAAAAGTTATTAAAAGACAAATACTCCACTATTGTATACAAGCACATAAATTATCCCCATCTAAAATCATTTCATTATTTCTTCCTCTTTAGCAATTGCTTCACTGACACACATTCACATAAGTTTTATCTCACTAAAATAGAAAAATTGTTTTAAAATAAAAGTGGATACCTATAAACATGATAAAATATTGTATTTTAAGTAGCTATATTAGAATAAGTGCTTTGAATGAGATGTATATTTGATACCATATTACCTATAACAAAGGCCATAATATATTTACTTAGTCCAATGTGAAATGCACTAAATGTGCTCGAATACTGAAAACACCAAGGAAAGTAACAGTCAGTTAAAAAAGTAAAGGAAAGCACAAATAACAAGGAAGAAGGCAATTAAGAAAAGGAAAACCTAACATTAATAGTGTATATTTTGGTGTCTTTTTCATATATGCCTACAAGTATTTTTTTCTTAATACTGTAAATTTAATTTCCTAAGAATTTATGCAAAGAAATTTTACCTTAGTTTTTGCATGAAAAATGCCAGGATGCCTTGTCACTAAGTAAACAGTGCTCTGATGTTCCTCCTATTTACAAGGTTAACACCCAGTTTTCTACACTTCTGTTTATGCACATGTAAAAGAAACACACTCCTCATAGGATATATTTACAATTATAAATGCAATATTCATAATGGATCATTATATTCCTATGCCTCCTCAGTGGAGATAATTGCCAGCCATAATGAGAAACAAACTAAAAGCGATAGTTAAAACATAATAAGAATCTTTTTTAGATACTTCTTTATTTTTCCAATTTTCTTGTCCAAATAGAGATAATTAAATAATCTGAAATAATGGATCCAAGAAATGAATACTAGTGGTAGACAAAAAGTTCAAGGTAAACAAGAGGATGTGGCATTTTCTAGGGCCTTCAGTAAATACTTAGGAGTTGGAATGATTGTACAGAGAATTCAAACACTCTTAGAGTCAAGTGTGACTTTTTCCAGTGCCCATGAGGAAGGTACCAGACAGGCCCGGCAGGACCAAAGTGCCAAAGTGATTGATTTATTCATGTTAGATACATCCTTGGACTTTCAAATGTGAGCAAATTTGCTTATTTGCAATTTTATTTCCTTCTGAAAAGCATCATCAATTATAATTATTTTATTAAATAAAAATCCAATGAGATTCACCAACGATCAATTAGAAGGAGAAAGGAGACTCACCATCTCTTCAGTTAAGCCTTGCAAACCCGGAGCTGTGGCTGCTGGGCAGCTCCGAGGAGCTGCTGAGAGGTGTCTGGGGAAGGCCGACATCAGTGGAGCATCGCCCTTGCCTGCCAGGAAAAACACCGAGATACAGTTAACGCACAGATGACAGCCCATGGAGAACAGTCAACAGCTCAAAAAAAGAAAAATCCTAGGACCTCGGGTAAACATCACAATTCTTTAAAATTTTTGGTATTTGTATTGCAGCATAATTTACATAGAGTAAAATTCCTCCGTTAAAAAGTATACAGTTCTGGGGCTGGCCCAGTGGCATAGCAGTTAAGTTCACATGTTCTGCTTTGGCGGCCCGGGGTTCTCTGGTTCGGATCCTAGGTGCGGGCATGGCACCACTTGGCAAGCCATGCTGTGGTAGGCGTCCCACATATAAAGTAGAGGAAGATGGGCATGGATATCTGCTCAGGGCCAGTCGTCCTTGACAAAAAGAGGAGGATTGGCAGCAGATATTAGCTCAGGGCTAATCTTCCTCAAAAAAAAAAAGTATGTCTGAATGTTAGAAACAGATTCCACATTCAGATACTGGTTCTCTGGACTACAAAGCCATGTGTGCTAGTCTTATATGGTGTCTTAGTCGCTTTGGTTTGCTGTAACCAAGTACCATAGACTGGGTGGCCTATAAAAACCAGAAATTTATTCTACAAAGTTCTGGAGGCTGGAAGTCCCAAATCGGGGTGATAGCACGGTCAGATTCAAGTGAAGGCCCTCTTCTGGGTGGCAGGCTGGAGACTTCTATTGCTTCCTTACATGATGGAAACAGAACAAGAGAGCTCTTTGGGGTCTTTTTTATATGGGCACTAATCCCATTCATGAAGGCTCACCTTTATGACCTAATCACCTCCCAAAGGCCTCACCTCCTAATGTCATCATATTGGTGGTCAGGATGTCAACATATGAATTTGGAAGGGACACAAACATTCAGTCCATTGTACATGGTATAACTGAGACTGGTCTTTTATAAAAAATTTAAAAAACTAATATGTAATACGTCCATAGTTTAATAATTGTAAAATTATGTACATCAAATATTTCATGAAATAAACATTTTGCACTAGATATGAGGGAGCAATGCCAAGTGGCCCTTGGAATTTATCATCCAGGAAGACACTAGTGGAACTTGTAGCAGCAAGATTGATAAAGGGGAGGAGAGGACAGGGCTTTGGTGCTCTTTGTAGTGAGTTGTAGATGAAGAGACACAGGCAGAGAAAATGTTTTTCAAAATATATGGCAATGAAGGGTACATAAGAGACCCATGGGGGAAGAAGGTTCCTCTGGGAGTGGGGCAGCCTCAAGCTGCTGAATGACTGTGCCTAGAATAGAGGATCTGGGTGGAGGAACAGAGGACTGTGTGCTGGAACCCAGAGGTCTGCAGGGGCAGCAATCTGGGAACTGGAAGGACAAATGACCTGAGGTTTCCTCTCATGCTCTCTTCCTAGTGTGTCACCTCATCTCAGACCAGAAGATGCTTGAAGACAAGTAGAATATGAGTTTGTATGTGCAGAATGCGCCTACTTTCATAATAGTGCTTTAATAGCTCTAGCAACTGCAGCTGAACACAAGGGGGAGAGAGAGAGAGAGAGAGAGAGATTACAGAGCACTTTGAAAGCATCCAAAATACCCTCTATCCACAACTCAGCAACTCAGGCAGGATAACCAGGACCCTGGAGGGAGGTGATATGATGGGTAGTGATATCTGAGGGTAAAGAACATGTGGGTAGTTGAGAAGAGTCTGTTTTGACTTTCTAGAAGCATGAATATATGTAAAGTAGCGAGCATTTATATACTGCAAATAAGATTGTATATGTACATACTGTACTTATATATAACAAACACATAGCACACAGTACACAGTTTACCTAGTATATGTAGGATATGGTAAGTTATTCTCCTATATTGTTTTCTAAAAGATTTTAAGATTTTTCATTTCACATTTAAGTCTTTTGTCATGAAGAGCTGACCTTTGCGTGAATTCTGGGACAGGGATCCATTCTGATTTTTTCCATTTGGATCCATTTGCTTATACCATCTATTTTATAGACCATTCCCCCACCGTTCTGTAATATTACCTCTGGTTTTCACATAGGCATAGATCTTTTCAACAGCAATCCACGCTTAGTTACTACAGCTTCACAGTAGTCTTGATGTCAGATAGGGTAAGCCCCACCTCCCACCCCTACAAGCACACTCTATCCTTTATGGGATTATCTTTAGCCCTTTTCTTTCTTACTTTTAATTGAGGTAAGATTGATTTATAACATTGTATAAATTTCAGGTGTACATCATTCTATTTTGCCTTCTGTGTAGACGATATCGTGTCCCCCACCAAGAGTCTACTGTGCTTATGTGCCCCTTTACTCCTTTCACCCTCCACCCACATCCCTTTTCCCCTCTCCTAACCACCAATCTGTTCTCTATATCTATGTGTTTTTTAATTTTCTGCATATGAATGGAATCAGGCAGTATTTGTCTTTCTCCAAAGATAAATCATACAACATTTTGCCTTTCTCTTGGGCTCATGCTTTTTTGGTAGAATTATTGATTATCAACTCAATTAATTTAATGGTATGGGTTGCATTGAGGTTTTCTAATCCTTTGAGGCAATTTTGATAAGTTACATTTTTCTGAGAACTTGTTCATCTCACTTATTTACAAATCTATCTGTACAAAACTATTTATAATCTGAGATGGATCAGAAATATGAAAATATAAATGTGTCATATATGTACAGCTTAAGAAGAAAAATAAAATGAGTATATGTACCCACTATTAAAACTATGAAATAGAATATTTCTAGTATCTTAGAAACTTCTGTTGCCCTTCTTCAATGCTTCTCATTCTTTGCACAGGGAGTGATCACTATCTTTAACTGGATAGTTACTGATTGGGAACACTAGAGAAAAAAAGATTTGGGACAGAGGAGTAAAACTCACAAAATTGCTTTGTTGTATCTCATACCAAGTAAGCAGTTGGATATATGAGCAAGACTTTCATGGTAAAGGTTTTGTCTAGAGTTAAAATATGTGAGCATTTTTGAACAGCTAGTAATGAATGTCCTTTGTAGAGCAACAAATATGCACTTATGGCCATAGGAAAAGCTATTACAGTGGGTGACGATTGATTGAAGTGAGTATTCATTAGAGGTGAAGACACGGGAAAAAGTGAGAATAGAAAACTTTTTCTTTGCACAGTGTGGCTAAGAAAGAGTGGAATAAAGAGGAATGAGATTGAGGTGGTAGCTATATAAATGACTTGAGCATTTAAAATTTTATTTAACATTATTTTCAAATAATTTCAGACTTAAAGAAATATTGCAGTAAAACGAATTTCCATGTTTATACTTTTTTACCTTCATTCTCCGAATGTTATTTACTATGAAATAATAGAAAAAATACATATGGTGGTCTCTGCCCTTAATTCCTGGCACAGAGCCCCTAAAACCCTTGTAATCTCCTAAGTGATAAGAGTGCTAGAAATATCTTTTATTCTAATGTTTGGTCTTTGACCCCAGTTTCTGACATAGGATATTATTAAATCCCTTGGAATTTCCTGGGTGACAGGTGTGTCTTTTGTTCTAATGAGATGACTTGTGGGTGGCTGTTGGGTGGGGGTTGATCACCAGAAAGACCCAGCCATGATTATAAGCTTGGAATTTTCATCCCTATCCCCATTCTCCAGAGAGGAGAGAGGAGCTGGAAAGGGAGTTAATGATTAATCATGCCTCTAGTGGGAAGCCTCCATAAAAATCCCAATGGTATGGGGTTCAAAGAGCTTCTGAGTTGGTGAACACATGGAGCTGCTGGGAGAGTTGTGTGCTCCTAGCCTCACCATGCGAGCTCCTTGCCCCTTCCCAAATAGCTTCCTTCTTCCATCTGACTGTTCTTGAGTTATATCCTTTTATATTAAACTGGCAATCTAGTAAGTACACTGCTGTCTTGAGTTCTGTGAGCTGCTCTAGCAAATTAATCGAACCCAAGGAGGGAGTTGTGGGAACCTCTGATTTATTACTGGTCATTCAGAAGCACAGGTAACAGCTGGATTTGTGATTGGCATGGAGGGCCTGGTCGTCTCATGGAATTGATCCTTTAACTTGTGGCATTTGACACTATCTCTGGCTAGTGTCAGAGTTAGATTGAACTGTAGGACACCTGGCTGGTATCTCAGAGAACTGCTTGGTGTGGGGAAAAAAACCCACAGTTCTTGGGCCGGAAGTCTTGTGAGTGTGTAGTCACATGAGAATGAAGGAGACGCACAGGAGGAGGAGTGAATTTTTCCTTCACTCTCTTTAGTAGGGTTGCTGTCTTTCACTCATGGATTTATAGGAGGCCTTTACACATTCTGGATACCAAACCCAGGTAACATGTGCTGCAAATATCTCTGCCAAGTTTTGGGGTTGTTTTTTCACACTACAGTATCTTTTAACGAGCAGAAGTTTTAAATTTTTATATGGTCAAGTTAATTTTTTGCTTGTGGTTTGTTCTTTTTGCATACACCAAGATCAAAGATATTCTCATTTTTCTTCTAAAAATCTTTCATAGCTGCCTTTATAATGCCTTTATACATTAATCAATTAAAATAGTTTTTGTGTTTGCTATATGGGACAAAGGTCAATTTTTTTTTTTAATATGGAGATCAATGATCCTAGCACTGTTTTTTGAAAAGTACACTATTTTTCCACTTCTCTGCAATGAAAACATGTCATAAACCAAGTTTCCAAACATGTGTGGGTGTCCTCATGTCCCCACTTCTCAAATCAATTAGTTCCCAGAACTACAGGAAGCTGATTTTCCACCCTGATGTTTTTCAGGCCGCATAGTATGAATTCAAACCTCAAACCCATGTGGTTATTGTCTTGTATTTAAGAATTATCACAGAAAACTTTTTTTTGTTTTTGCTTTTTCCGTACTCTATTGGGGCCCAGAAAAAGGCAGGCATATGTTTTCACTGTCTCCTTATGAGGGTGGGACTTTCCTAGTCCAGGTGCTTACAGTGCTACCCTTAATGACCCTGGATTTATGTGAGAGTGAGAGGTGTGGTAGTCTGTATTCCTCCTTGT